AGGACACTAGGGTCATAGAACACGAATACGACTTTCTACAGGACACTAGGGTCATGGAACACGAATATGACATTCTACAGGACACTAGGGTCATAGAACACGAATACGACTTTCTACAGGACACTAGGGTCATAGAACACGAATACGACTTTCTACAGGACACTAGGGTCATGGAACACGAATATGACATTCTACAGAACACTAGGGTCATAGAACACGAATACGACTTTCTACAGGACACTAGGGTCATAAAACACGAATACGACATTCTACAGGGCACTAGGGTCATAGAGTGCTTTATTTCATTGATTTAAAATATATCATCACAACATCCAGTACCAACAATTCATTAGACACAAATATTTTCTTTAATTGCAAGCTTTAAGAGAGTGTGAATCACCATTCAAGATCTTTGCTTCCCTTCTTTGAAAAATACTCATCAATTTCTTGTTGACATTTCTGCTGATATTCTGCATGTTTTGCTAGATTATACATACACCATGATATACCACTAGATGTTGTGTCGTGACCTTCAAACATAAATGTATCAACTTCATCTTGGATTTCTTTATCAGTCAAACCATTTCCGTCTTCATCCTGCATTAGAATTAAGTGAACATTGAAGAGTACTATATATACTATGATAAAGAATCCATTAATATAATAATATATTGCTTGTGTAGATTGTATTGTACATTGTCATAAAACAAGCAATTGAAAAAAATATATTGCACTCATTTTAGGTTATTTATATTTTACGCTTTGATTTGGGAATGAGGTCAATAAACCTATAGTTTCTAATAGCTCTTTTTCAAATATTATAAAATGATACTACGATATACTACAGAATTATGTACAACTTAATCATGCGATATGTTTGCAGATACCATTGTCTGATTTATAAAGCCAAAGTGAAATTTAGCCAAATTTCTCAGTCTCCCAATTTGTAAATAATTATGCTTGTTGTATGTGATTTTGTCCAGCATCAGTCACAGAGCTGCATGTGCATGTGTTCACCAAAAGAACTGTGGCATTCATATTTTGATTTAAGAAAAGTACAACAAAAGTACACAAACCGTTCAACATGATAAAAAACATTCTAAAACTGTGAAACATGAATTAATGTACCCTGGCCGAAAGAAGAATGTCTAAAAAATCGATATATTTTCTTTTATTGCTGACACCATTTTCTTTCTGGTTCAGTATTTCGTTGTGCCGTTGTTTGATTACTCTACTAGAATGGGAATGCAGAATCTTTAACGCTTTGCGCCATTTTCTACCATTGGACGATAGATGATATATCGAGTCGCTGTGATGTAATAAGTTGAGGAATCGTTTTGAAAATAGAGTCCCAGCTTGGTAAACTGACTGAGTGTAAGAATTTGAGTCTCTGAAACAAGAACAGAAATATTTTTTGTGACTTTTTTTCCAGTAATTGTTTAATGCCCACAATATAAATCATTGAAACAAAGAAATGATATGTATATTGAGTATGATGTCATTTCTATGATTGCAGAATATATTTACCCATCTTGATTCTGTGAATCGTGACTGAATATACACTTCATCAAACAGTCTAGCGTCAATAAACTGACATCATGAAATACTTCAATAGAATTGTTTTCTCCATGCCACTTACACTGGAAATAATAATTAAGTCAAAATAAAGGATTAATTTACAACATTTTGCATATACTTCCGCATTGGAAATTATATATTGATAAATGGCATTTCGCGTTTTGATCAGCCAATAGAAGAATCTTTGGAATGATGAATTTGTTGGGGGTCACACGGCAGCCACAACTCCCTGTTGACTGAAGGAAAATGGTTTATAGGTGAACTCAGGGAAATACACCAGTCTCCTTTTGAGTACATCAAAATTTTAGTCAGTCAGGAAATCCTTTGAATTTGAATCTGAATTATGTCCTTATTCTTTATGGTATCCATGAGTGTATTTCTACTCTACCAAGTATGTTGCTGATGTTGTGTTTAAGAAAACAAGACGGCTGATGCACTAATTTAGTGATGGAAAAGTCGGGTTTTTGTTCCAACCAATATGTCATTGGCAGGTCAGGTATAAATTACAGGTAGATTAATGTTGCAGCTGGCGCACACGTGATAATAAAATAAATATGATATTTACTATATGGGGGTTGCCATCTTGAATGCAGCATAAAACTAAATAAGAGACAAGTTGTGAAACGCGTTTTTCAGATTCCTACAAATCAGGACAAAAATACCAATCTTCCACAGAAATACGATCCATTGGGATAATATTAAGCCAGCCGATAACAAAATTAGGCCAAATTCGTCGTTATTGTGTGGAAAAATCCCTTAAATACGAACACCTAATTACACAAGGAACATAGAACACTTTCCTGGGGTATTTGAAACCAAAAATTATCATTCCAGCTCAGCAGCCAATCAGCAACGGCCTTACTGTCAGATGACAATTTTGGTTTCAAATACCCCAGGAAAGTGTGGCCTCAAACAGTGCATCAGACTGAGGATTTTTCTGTTGGCTGATGAAGCCCACTTTACTATTAATATAATTTCCAAAGCTAAATTAAGAATGAGACTAGCAGTTCCACAGTAATAAACACAATTCATGTTCGTTACAAACAATCTGAACCTTATTATGATTGCCTAACCAATCTTTAAACTATTAAATACAAATAAAACAACGTACCACTAATGCTTTGGAGCATTCATTGAATATCTTTGCATATGGTTTCAGTACATCGAAATGGAATCCCGGAGTGAGCAGTTTACGGTTTCGAAACCATTTACTTCCTTTGCTTAATAACAACCCATCACCTAACCATGGTTTCAGCATGTCATATGCCATTTTGTCTTTCGGCTCTATGCGAGAATAAATTGTGTTCATTTTGTGGGGTTATGGTTCCTAACCAGGCTTGGTAAACTAATCAATCACAAGAAACGTATGTATAAATAATAAGCATATAGCATAGTTCATGACGTCAATACAGTATATCCACTGATATACCGGGGACCTTACAAGAAAGTTTGTAATACATAAACAGAAATGATACACGCGTTAAACACAACAATGCGATAAAGACTCGTCTGGTACTAAAATAGTTGCACGTCCTATTTATAGTCTTGTTAGGATACTGAACCCTAGGCGGGAATGTTAACATTACAGAACTACGTAATAAAGTGATGTTTTCTAACATGTTTGCACTTATGTCATGGTTTTTATAGACATGGTTTAAAATAAAAAAAATTGTGTGTATATCAAATATGTAAAAAAAATCCCCGAACACAGTACATTTGTATTTAAGAAAACTGCTATATTGAAATAATAAATGTTTTCAAATGATAATGATCAAAATGCTTAACACGACACATTTAGTTACACACACATGTATCAGATTGATATAATTGTACCTGATGTTGACAGAATAGCTTTCATTGTCATAGGGTGAGTCACCATATAGGTTACATCAAAGGGACCAATCCAAATGGGGTATCCATACTTATGTTTTGATGCCCATATTGCATGTCGATCAAGAGATTCTTGTCTTCGTTGTGCTATGATAAATTAGAAGAGTATCTTATCTTAATAGTGAAAAAAAGTTTCTTTTTAAGTGTAATTTTCACTACCTATATGTGGTAGTTTATGGTGAGCGTTTTAGTGAATAGGTAGACCCGACAAAACATTAGTTGTCATAGATTGTATATAAACATATAATTAAACTAGTAGCTTCGCGGTGAGTGGCTTTCGCGGTAATTGGGTTTCGTATCTGGAGGGTTTCGCGGGGAGTAGAGCTTTGTCTCAGTAACTGGACCTTTCATCCTTGTTGAGAATTAATGTTTTATGTTCCTTCAACAACTGGCACTATTCTGGGAATACCATCCTGGCAGGAGTTCCAAAATAAGACCCATACTCTGATAATGCCATAAGCTGAAATATCCAAGAACCAACACATACCAGAAATATCAAATGTGAATATTCGTGGTGTATTTTAATTCGAATCGAACCGGAAGTGGGAATTTGTTAGTACTCTAAATAACATATTGGCGATCCGCTCAGCTAGGATTGCCCTCAAAATTGCCCTTGTGTGTGTGTGTGAGATTTCCACAGTTTTCACGTATTAATTCTTCTGTGATTTTTTTGGCTTGGCCGTTTTCGCTTTAACTTGGCAGGCAGGCAGGCAGGTCACACCTTCACCCTAGTTATTAGGAAAAATCTGGAAAAAAATTGGCCCACCGTTGCCATAGCAACAGCCAAAAAAAAACGATTTTTGAATAGCTTCGCGCAAAATGTATCTCCTACCAAATTTAGGATAAAACACATCAGACCTCAACATTGCTCATTCTACTCAGCTTGAGTGTGGGCAAACATTGACTGTTTTTGTTTTGTATATTTTCATTACCGAGAAAATTGACCTAAAACACAGTCCCTCTATCACTGATAGAGGGACTGTGCCTAAAAGTTGGGGTAACTTTTCACTTCACCAGCAACGGCTTTTAACTCCTCCGTGATTGTTTTCGCTCGACCGATTTTGTTCATATTCACCACTGCCAAAAACTGATTTTTGAATATATTAGTCCCAAATGTATTATCTCCTACCAGTCTTGTAATAGCAGTGTTCAAATGATCATGCTTTTTATTTTGGCTACGTTGCGCACTGGCAAGAGACCACCGGCGTCGACATTGTTACACTGTATCAACGTAATCCCAACGTAAGTTTGAACTTTGAATGAACTGTGAATGCTGCCTTCAATCTCGAAAATACTATCGAAAACGGTTGGAAATAATAAATGTAACAGCAGAATACGCCCTAGTATTAAACTAAGTGACTTTTAATGAGTGAGTGTTTTGTTTTTTTGCGAACTTAGTATACGGTGCCCGGTTTTAGTTATAAACCGACGTTAGCTTCACGCTCATGTCCTACAATGGCAACAGCCAAAAACATGTTGATTGTTTTTGAGCGGAGCAGATCGCCAACCAGCCTACCGGTTTGTTTTAGTATAAGCTAGTAACAACTTGTCAATAATTATGAAATGATTTGTAAGCATAAGATTGTTATGTGAACTTCGTTCATTATTAATGGAATACTGTGCGATGACGCTATTTTCAGGGCCTAACTTATTATTTATTTAACTTTTTGACCTAACTTTTTATTTATTTAAATTACATTATTACGAAAATAAAAACAATTGATTAAAGCTTACGAAAATATCCCTTGCCGACCCTCTGTTCTATATTCACCCAAAACAACAACGAACCTAAAACAAAAGTAACCTCGGATCTAAACGACCTGCGTCTAATCGAGTCTTATCTCCCTTGCGTTTCTGATCGAGATAAGGTCGGGCCAATGTACCATGATTGTTTGATTATCATCAGTTCAACCAAGCTGTTAGATAGGTTGTTTATTAGAGGTGACCGGGAACCAAAATTTGGGACGTGAATCCCTCCGGTGACGAAAACGGTGTCTTTTTACGGTGACCAAGGGATGAAGGACTTTTTACCTCGTCGATAGCGACCCAACAGACACGCAGTGATCAGTGAAGCCTCAAATGACACTCACCTTTATGAATTTCCCGTCTTTGTTAGTTTTCGGGCCCAGGAGATTTTATAAATTTATAGTAGTGAAATATGTTGTATTTTTTACCTACCTACTTATTGAATTCTTTCTTTGAAAACATGTTTAGGCAGAAAATTGGGAAACTTTCTTATGGGACATACTTAAATGTTTTGTAAATGTAAAGTTACACCAAAAATATTGCACAGTGACACAATTTGTATTACTTGATTATAGATTCCTGGGGAACAAATATTAGTGCTGTAATTCACACTGGTGGGGGAATAGGTGACAAATTTAAAGTTAAAAACGTTTTCAAACGTGAATTTAACGACGAACGTTTGTGAAACGAATCAATGTTCTGGTTATCTCTGGTGCGACTGCAGTCTTTGGAAAAAACTTGAGGGACTCTAAATAGCAATTTAATGCACGTGAATTTCCCAACAAAAGTTTAAATGTTTTAGTTGTCTGTGGTGTGGCACTGGTGTGGAAAGCTGTCGAATAAAAGGAGGACAACCTTCAAACGCATTGTTATGATAATTTGATTCTCGGCATGTTAGTTGACAAAAAAATGAAAGATTTCTTGAATTTTCTCAGCGATATCTACGTGAATTTGAACCAAAATGTTATCCGCAAGACTCAGAATACGACTGTGACAGCCACTGAAACGCAATTGAAGGCAAATAAACACGTCAAGCAAAAAAGACTTTTGTGATTCCTGGCGTAAAATGAAAGCACATACCATTTTGACTCTTGAGGGGAACAGAAATCAGTTGATTTGAGGGTGTTACAATAAGCAAGGGAGTAAATCGTTTTTATGCTACAAAAAAATGCAGACCTTGAACGTACTTTTTTTTAAGGTTCATTTGTTGCAAGTTACAGAGCACAAACCTAAGTGGCGGTCCTTCAGCAAATAATGAAGCATAATTACCTCCATGTATGAAGCAACGGCATTTTCGATGTTGATATCGCGAAACTCACCCTTTTTACGCAAACTGGGAAGTTCGAATTACTAAACAAAGTACAGGACGACGAATATAAAATATCCAAGAATCAACACATACCAAAAATTATATCTCAAAAGTGAATATTCGTGGTGTATTTTAAGTCTAACCGGACCATAAGTGAAAATTTGTTAGTATTCTAAATATCCAAACATATTTTAGTATAAGGTAGTAACTACATAGAAAGGTGGTCCAGTGCCCTCCCATTGATATGCAAATGCCTGCAGGTAATGATATGAAAATTGACTTAGTGGCCTTGGGAGGACACTGGCCAACTACAACTAAACACACAGACTAAAGTCCCCAAAGAAGTTATTCGACCCTGAACACGGTACACGCGTCAAATAACTAAATAACACCTCTTTTATGTGTTTTTGTTACTTCAGCTTGGGGGGGGGGGTTATACGTTAGTACAAATGTACAATATAATGAAATGTGAATTTTCCCTAAATGGTGCTTGTCACTGACGCCGAGTTGGGGCATTAATTAAAGTGAGGTATTCCGCTGACAGGAAGCCGACCACATTCGGTACCAAATGAATGTAACTGCTATCATTGGGGCATCATTATTAATTGATTTACAGGTGTGTGTTGTTTGTTTTGTGCAGTCCGAACTTTTTGATGGTTTGATGACCGAAATCACATTAACAACCACGATAAGTAATTGAGTTGAGATTGGTGGTGGGAATTCCCAAGCCAGTTTATAAAATTGTGAACAAAAATTTTCGTAAATAACAATTAACGCGAAAGGCGTTTTCTTATTAGTATGTAGCATTTATGCATATAATTACATATCTCATATATTTTGTGTCATTTTAATTATACATGGTATTCCCAGATTAACACCGGTTGTTAATAACACATACAACATTAGATTCTCAACTCCGATAAAAAGACAAGTTTCTGTCACTAACCACGAAAGCAATCATCGCGAAAGCCACTCATCGCGAAAGCCACTAATCGCGAAGCTACTGGTCTAGCAGTAAAAAATGTGTTACGTTACCACAGGGCGGCAGTCGTCGCGCCGTGTCCTGTTCGATATGGGACTCATAGCGACATATACAGCGCTTTAACTTACCAAATGTAGATGTCCGAACAGCCAATGTCGTGGCTCCCCAGGAAAATCTGTCAAAGCCTTCTCTAGCCATCTTCTATATCTAAACCACGAAACAACAACAGCTATAACTTTAACAACGCATATGGCAACCAACGCCAGTACAAACGTAAACAAATACGAGACACTATTAAAGATATCCATGATGTCCGATCAACGCAGCTCAGACCGTACTGAACCGATGACCTAGGGGGGGGGGGGTACTGCTGAAATCACTGAACTGTGTTTTCAGCCGCCACCGCTGAGTCGCCCTTACTGTTCAACTGACAGGCTTTATAAATCGCTTGGCTGTCACGCAACTAATCACTGGCTGTCATCCAACAAAAAATCGACGATCCAAAAATACTTTAATAGTACATGTGTACCTGCAAACCACGCCCTCCGGGTCCAATGTCACGAAGTTACGCCCACTGACCCGACGTGACCCATTGAATTGATCTGCAGGTCGGCGGCCCCTCAGTCAACACCGACAGCGCTTGCTGTGGCGATACACAGAACAGAAATACATGACATGGCATTCCAAGAAATATAACTATGAAACGACAACAAACTAATGAAAGACAAAATAGACGAATGTGGCAATGTCCCCGGTGACGCATTGAGCTCTTTTTTTAGCTCTATGGGTGACGTGTCTTAAAGCGCAATTGCGAATAGAGATCTAACAGACTTACGGGAGGTGCTTGGACATTCAAAAGGTAAACATCAGTAGTGAGGGAAAACAATATTTTCAATTAAACAATATTGCTGTTTATTATTGTTAATATAATCTGGAATCTTATGTTCGGTACGTAGTTTACTCTAATGCTTGCCTCAAACATGGCTTTCCAATATTTTTTAAAGATATATTTGCAAAATACATTTTTAACGAAACCAAAATCAGCCGATCCACTTAGGGAATTATTCAAAGTCATTCCTCAGCTCCTG